AAATTAAAGATTAAGGGAGCTTTAAAGTTTAATGAGATTTGAAGTTGAATCCATAGAATCCATCTCAAGTTTTGTTTGGTTTTACTTCCACACACTTTCACCATTTTAGATTTAAGGCAAAAATCAGAGAAATGAATGAAAGTTGTCGTTTTGGTTATGTTTTGCTATGACATAAATGAAGATTTAAAAATCTGTAGGAGTTCCAAGTTGTCAGTTTTATTTTTTGATGAGACGACAACAACAACAACAAAGCCTTAATCCCACTATGTGGGATCGGCTACATGAATCATTTTTCTCCATTGCATCTTATTTAGTGTCATATTTTCATTTAGTTCTAGTAAATTAAGATCATTTTTAATACAATAAGTCCAAGTCTTCCTAGGCCTACCTCTGCCTTTCTTAACACAAATGGAATCTAAAACATCTACTCTCCTAATCGGATCATCATATGGTCGACGTTTAATGTGACCAAACCATCTATGACGACTTTATCTAATTTTGTCCGTCACAGGAGCTACACCAACCCTATCACGGATATATTCATTTCGCATTTTGTCTCTAAGTGTAAGACCACTAATTCACCTAATCATTCTCATCTCGGCAACACTTAACTTATTAATATGCTTCTCTTTTAAAGGCCAACATTCAGCGCGATAGAGCATTGCAGGCCGTTTTATAAAATTTTCCTTTCAGTCTAAGCGGCACTTTTATATCACACAAAAGGCCCGAAGCATTCCTCCACTTCAACCAACCAACTAATTCTACTATTAACATCCCAATCTATATCACCATCGCTTTGAACAACGGACCCAAGATATCTAAATCGTTCACACCTTTTAATAATTTGATCACCCAAAGTCACACTTTTGTCAGTAGAGCTATTACTACTAAAATTACATTTCATGTATTCAGTTTTAGTTCTACTTAAATGAAGGCCTTTAGACTCCAATTTAGACCTTCATAATTCAAGTTTTTCCTGGGCTTTTTCTCTTGTTTTATCCACGAGAAGGATATCATCAGCAAAAAGCATACACTAAGGTGTAGATATACATTTTTGAACATATTATGTACTCGTTTGAGTTGTTCCAACCTGAAGAGAAAACATTATTGTGCGGTTAAACATGTGTCTGAAGACCCATGCGCGTAGAAGGCTTATGATATTTATATTGCAAAACATCACTCATGCGTCTTACAGACTGGTGGGTAGGGTCCAACACTCCGGGGTAGCCAAACCGGATGACGGTGAGAGGTTGTTTGAGTTCAGGCTGATGTCAATGTCGATAATAAAATGCTAAAAGTATAATCTCTTCTTGCTTTTAAACATGTACCTAAAGATTCATGCATGTCTTTTAGATGGGTGTGATCAAAGATTTGCGATTTTGGTGTTGAAAAATATTGCCAATGCACGTCTTTTAGACTGGTGGGTTAGAAGATTTATGATTTTGATGTTCAAAAAAGATTACTCATGCGTGTCTTATAGACGAGTGGGCGAGATCCAACACTCTCGAGGTAACCCCAAAGAGGGCTCAACGTCAAAAGACTACCAAATTTTCGATTGACTGTAAAACTTAAAATAAGACATAAAATGGACATAATCAAAATTTAAATAATTTAAGTAAATTCTACATTAAGCTTAAAAAAAAAAGCTATAAACTTAAATTGAAAGAGGCTAAAAAATATACTCAGATATAAATTTGAAACGCCGCCCTCTAAAACATTAACAAAAGCTTCTTGCACTTAGGAAAATCTATGAAAACTAAAAATTGAAATAAAAAATTGAATGAAATGAATTAAAACCGACATTCTATTTATAGAATGAAAAAAATGTCGTGTGGGGTCCGCTTGAGTTTCATTAGTCATATAAAGATAAATGTTGTCACCTATATATAAGTAAAATTCTAAAACGACATATGGCTAAAGCCTCTAGACTAGAATCTGATTTAAAAGCTACGAAAGTCTATCCAATTCACGCCCTTTGCCACCAGATCTGCAATCCCCTTGCTCTAGCGGACAAAAGGCGAAATTAAATACTTAAAAATATTTGTACAAACTTTAACGATAACAAACCCGTGCAAATAATGATAAAGTTTCTCTTGAAAATCAGTTTAAATAAGTTTGAAATTCGCGCGTGTGCCCTAACGTTATCATAAATGATTAAATTTGAACGTTTGAGAATGTTGCGCTGACTAAAGTTGTTTATGTTTAAATCATATCCACTTTACAATACATACAAAACTATTTAAAAATTAAATCCAACCAAACAATTAAATACCCACATGTGCTCCAATCAATTTTTTAAATGTTTATCATGTGTGAGAATGTTGTGCGAGCAACAAGTCATCTTGCATATAGGTTCAGGTTGTAAGTTGCATATTTGGCCACTCTGATCCTTCATATTTGGACCGAAGTTAACAAAACTAAGCCATTGAACCAACCTAATCCTCTTTCTTACAGGGATTGAAGTTTGTATGATTAGTGCTCTCAATGATATTTAAGATTCAATTATTTTCTGATAATGTGCATATTCATTGCACATCTTAATCTTTATAAAATTATATAATTCAAATATTTAAAATGAAACTTATCACTCAAAGCTGGAAGTAAAACTCATTCTCAACAATCGCTAGTTAGGGTAGACAAATATAACATTGACTCGAGCTTATAAAATGCTAATGCTATCTCAAACATATTACTAAATTTATACTCAAAATAGTTTTGTATGCATTGTAATCTTTCCGCATTGTTTGGCTAGTAGGCTCCACAAAGAAAGTGGTTATGACCACAATCTGACCGAGTGGTTTGGCCATTAGGCTCCACAAAAGAAATGTTTATGATAAGAGCCCTTTTATCGAGTTGTTTGGCTAGTAGGCTCCATTAAGTCGTTTGGCCAGTAGACTCGATATGTTCCTCAATGATAATCTACCCTTTTGAGTATTAAACCAGATGGTATATTTGATAGATCAAAAAACTCTGTAACCTAAGGTCGATTTAGATTAGTCCCCTTAGATAAATATTCATTCTTTGGCCTATAGGGTCCCATTGGCTGAAACAACTCATAACTACTGACAAGAATCTTTTTGTCAGGTTGGGTTAACTATCTTTACTAATTAAACAGATCAGAAATCATGACACCGCGGGATTAGAACTATGAAATCTCGATTGGATTCTTCATCGTTTTATCCACTATTCGTTTTAAGCTCATGGTGATAATTCTTTATAATTTTAAATTTTAAATTTTCTTCTACTATATGCTAATTATCAATAATTAGCGCCTAATAATTAGTCTTAATTGAAATTGCTCTCCTGTTATATGGAAGGGTAATTAATCACAGGGCTTTGCACCTATAAGAAACCTTAAACCTCAGATCTTAAAGTCCTAGCAAAATGAGAGTGAAATCTTTGGGTAGCGTTTTATCTGCTATATCATTTATCTTCTGAAAATTTGGCTCAGAACTTAACATATAAACTCTAGAATGGAGTCTTGTAATTTTTAATTCATCTGATGATTAGCCTTAATCAAAAGTGCTCTTCCATTATCTGAAGGGGTGATTAACTATAGGACCTTGCACCTATGAGAAACCTTAAACCCCAGATCTTAAAATTCTCGCAAAATGAGGGTGAAATCTTTGGGTAGCATCTTATCTACAATCTCATTTGTCTTCTAAAAATTTATCTTGAAACTTAACATATAAACTCTTGACGGGAGTATGTTATTTTGAATTTTTGGAGCCCACAGATTTTTGGCGACTTCGACAGGAAATATTTTTCTTTGCATCTTTAGCTAGTCATATTTATATTCACTATAATAGCAGCTTAAAAAAATACTATAAAATAAATAAAAAATTATTTTTATTGTAAATACTTAGGGCTTGAGTAAACTACGTCTGAAGAGCATTGAAACACAACCCTTAGATTTCAATCTAAGTGTATGCTATCAAAATGTCCTAACAAAAAGATACAACTATGTATGGTGAATATTGGGGCATGGCCATTAGATTTTAAGTTAAGCGTCTTTTGTCAAAAGATCCCAACAAAATGATATATTCGTTCTGGAGACTATTGTGGCATGGCCATTGTGTCTGCCACCAAAATATGCTAACATAAAAATAAATTGCCTGGCGAGCATCGGAGTAAAGAAACCTAACTCTCAATTCAAAAGTCTATCACAGAAAGGTCCCAACAGAAAGATAAACACAATATGATGAGCAATTGGGCATGACCCGTAAGTTTTATTTCGGAATTCTACCCCTGGAAGGCCCCAACCGAGAGATAAGGTCTGCAAGGTGAACACCAGAGTGTAATCCTGAAGTTTTAAGTCAATATTCACCACCGAAAGATCCCAACAGAGAAATCCCACTATGTTTGGCTGCTATCCAACTCAATGATTTAGAGGTTCTCATCATTGATTTAGACATTCTCATCATTGAAGATAGGGTCACTGCTAAATTTGTTTAAGCCTTTTCAACTTACACGAGGGTCAACAAAAATATGACGCCCATGTTTGAGCGATTTTGATTGACGAGTTAGCCAATTACTAATTTAGTTCACTAGGTATGCTATGGATAATCTCAGTAAAGTGTCAAAATTGTCCCTTGACTGTTTACTTCGAGTCATTTTAGTTCCAGAGTTTATAAAAATGCTAAATTAGAGTCCCTATACTGTTGTAATAGAGGCAAAAATAGTCCTCATTAGGGACTAAATCAATTCATATTAAAAGAGTGGGATCAAATTGACACTTCTATAAACTCTGGGACTAAAATGACCCCTGTGAAGATTCAAGAGACCATTTAGACACTTTTCTCGATAATCTTTAATTTTAAATTTGTTTGTTTTTTTCATTTTCTTAGAAAGCCGGCAGGATCTGTCAACTTATTCATTAGCCTTTCGATCATTTCACTATTGTTTTATGGATATTTTTCCTTACAAAATTCTTTAACCGTTTGTAAAATCTCTAATCTTGTTTGATGCACTTTTAATATGAACTGTTTTCTCTTTTTCAGGCACTACGGTATCTAATGAGATTTCAAAGCGAGTATACATGTAATCTACTTAATGTAGCCAGACACTCAGCTTTTGGCATGCAAGCGGCTGAAATGGTCCTCAGAACTATTCCTTCTGGTTGGCCAAAGGTTTCAAATTTGTCTATTCTTAGCTACTTTTGCCATTTTTTCTGCAATTCACAGTTTGTATATCTTATTGTCAAATTGGCTTTCTATAATCTGACCATGAATTGCTTATTATGCATACAAATCTAATCGATCGGGTTATATTGCATTTCTTGCGTGCGAAGACAATAAAGATCGTTAAATCTTGAGCTTTCACGAAGAAAATCCAGCGAAGTTTTGCACAATGGGGGAGAACCTGACAGTTTATACTTATAAATGCTTGGTTGATTTTGTTCATTTCTATTTCTAAAAAGGCAAATTTATCATCTTTATGTTGACCTCATTTTTATGAGGTCTTACTTTTCATCTCCTTAGAGTCTAGGATCTGGCCTTAGCATTTCTTATTCGACTCTCCTAGAAGGTTAGTATTGGGACCCACACTATTTAGAAATTTGGACAATTTCTTGACTTCTTGTAGTTTCATATGGGTGGTCTCAAATTCTAAGCATTTAGTTGAGTCAATTAAAATCAAGATATTGAAACTCAAGTTGAGCTCCTACAGGGGGCGAAAAAGTTATAAGGAGACCCTTCGGCGTGTGACTAGCAACTTGCTGCCGAGAGCGGTCTGCTTGACTTCGGTCCTCAAAACACTCTGCTCTTTAAATGGCTCCGATTGAACTAAGTTAACTCCAATTTGCGCGTGATGCGACAAATGAAGTCATTTAGTCTGATCGGAGCCGTTTAACGAGCAAAGTGCTGACTGACTGTTTTGTGCATTTCCTTGCTCTCGGAGCTTTTGGGGCAGAGGTTTTTGTGCTTTCATATATGGATGTAAGTGTTTTTTTTTTTGTTGCTTCTTCATTCGCCCTCATTCATTCAGTCTATTTGAGGACTAAGTTTATTATTCTTTATTTGATTGATGCTTGGGAACTTTATGATTTGTTGAAATTGATCCTTATCTTATGATATTTGGGATTTTTGATTCTTGTTGCATGATATTTGAAGCTTTTATTCTTTCTGTTGTATGATATTTGGAAATTTTGACTCTCATTACATAATATTTGGAGGTGTTTACCGTTGCATGATTTTCAAAAATTTCACGGTTTGCTGAAAGCTGGTTCTTGATATATGCGGCTTGGAATCTTTATAGTTTGATGAATGAGTTCTTATTGCTTAATATGGGTAGGGTGGCAGATATGTATTGGAGCTTGAATATTGGACAGGTGAACACATTTGAGGATTCACATAGAGACCACTCGAATTACATTTACACATTTAGCATTTATATTCCAACTGTGACATGAATATCACTTAATTTTTATTTAGCACCTAAACTACAATGAAGAAGTGCAGTTTTTTTTATTAATCGTGATGTATTTATATGAATCAGCCTGAATTCTAAATAAAAGCTTGGTTTATGGTGTATGCACACATATATGTTACCAAGGATTAGGGTATATGTATATTTTTGGCAGTCTTCTATATTTGTACGTTTATGCAACTCTTAAATTTAAAATCTGTGCATACAGATTTCTATAATCTTAGATATGACACTTCAATCCAAATATTGCACTTGCACATTCTACAAGGCTTTATGACATTTGTGCAGCTAATATTTACGTGTACGACACTGAAAGTTGGATGAATAACTTTAGTTTTTTTTTGGAATTCCTGGTTCATTTACATATATGGCATTGAAAACTTGATGAATTATTTCAAAATTAGCGGGATTTACATGCTTGAACTTTTAGATTTACAAAAAAAAGAATAAATACAATTGGATCATCATACACTTACATGCCTAAATCCTCAGATTTTGTATGTATATGCTTAAATCTTCATTGGAGTACCCAATCATTTCTTATAAATTTGCATATTTAACACTGAAGTTTGTGTTCTGTTCTAACTTTTGAGACGGTTTAGGCCATGAAATTGGTGGGATACTTTCACATTTGTTATACATCCAAACATAAGACAGTATATTTGCTTGTCCATTGTTTAAACTATTGGAATCACAGTGAAGTTGCTAGCTGCTTTATGGTTCAAATAAAAAAATGAGATGTGAGATTTTTGTTGAGACATTGAAAACCGATATCTTGTTGACCTACATTGTCGTTTTCTCTTCAGTCTAAATATATATATATATATATATATATATGGTTCATGTAAGGAGATCTAGACATTGTTTGTGCTGGCTCACTTTGCTTGCACAAGCTTTTGGTGCTCTTGATTCATTATCTATTTGTTTTACTGATTAATCTTCTGTTGATTATAGTGTTGAATGCTAGTTTATTGGCGGAAACCCTCACTTGTCTTCTTCTCGTTTAATAAAAAAAAAAGGAAGGAACAAACAAGGAAGCTTATATAGGGTTGTGCGTGAAAGACAAGAAAATGTGCGTTGTTTTTTTGAAAATGTGAAAACGTTATTTTTAGAATTATTGTTTTTCTTATGGAAAGAAAAAAAAAAGAGAAGAAGACATGATTATTTTGGTTTGGATAAAGCATTAGAGGTATGCTGACGCTACTCATAAATCTATATTATATATGATACTGGGCTTCCTTCCTTTAATTAACCATTGCTTTTGATAGGCATCAGTTATGTTGGGATTTAGAGCTTGCTTCAATGAAGATTAATGAAATGTGATACATGCATTTATTCGGTTAAGGGTGTTTGAAAGATTTACATACAAACTAGACAATTTTTTTTTTTTTTTATGTATATGTATATGCATAACCTGTTTTGATGATTTCTTTTGTTAACATAAAATTTAGGTGTTAAATACGACTTTTTATAAAGAATTGGATAATAAGAATGTAAAGGCATGTATAAATCCTTGGTAACCTTTTCTTTGTGATAGAAATCCAAAATTTATGTGGGTCGGCTGTATGCAAATCTGAAATTTATGTAAATTGGCTTTATGCAAACCTGAAATTTATGCAAATTTGAAATTCATATGGGCAGGTTCTATGAAAAAAAAAATCCGGAATTCATATGCATCGATTTTAGATAAATCTGAAGTTGTTACATAAATTGATTTTTATCCCTTGGAAATTTGTCATCTATTTATACATATAGCAGACACTTCACATGTACTTACAAATCTAACGCCTGCAGTTTGAATTCTATACTAAACCTTCAGGTAGCTCATATTAAGAAGCTTGTCGGGATATTTTCACATATTGCTGTACATCCCCACATAAGATACTCATATTCTACTCTTCCACTGTTTTCTCAGTGGAGTTTTTTTTTAGCTGGTTCAAATAAATTTTCTTACTTTCCCATTAGGAGTACATTGGCAAGACAATATTTATGGCACTTAAGGTTTATGTATTATATCAAACTTTAAGGTTGATTTGTGCCATGGAATTATTGGTATGCCATTCTCATTGTTAGAGGTAATTATTTAATGATTGAAATATTTATATGGATATCAGGCTGGCGCATAAGTGGGAGGTGACGGGGATATGACTTTGTGAGGGTGCAGTGATCAATACTACTTTTCACCAACATTTTGTGAGAAGCTACCACTATTTTTTTAGGTTGCTAGTAGCTCTAGCCTGACGGCGTGGTTAACTCGTGGACCATCTGATATATATATATATATAATATAACAAAAATCTTTGCTCGTGACACTAATATCTGTGGCTGCTAAGTGAAAGCTTAACTTTACTTATATGTTTGACAAATTAAGAATTTTGGATGTTACCTTCTACGAGCTCACTTGTTAATCACTTTGATCGGGCTAGGGGTTGCTCTCCTTTGATCTTCTTGTGAGTGGCTTATATCTGAAGTTTGAGTTCATGCACACATATTGCTTATAGTTGCCTACGAATGTTCCTCGAGAATGAACAGGGCCAGTGGTTCTGAGTCTGAGCCCCCCTAACTTAAATTCTTATACTTAGCTTCGGTCTTTCATATATGCGCTGACTTTCTTATGTACACATATGCTCATGTCTTTTGTGTTTTTTCTTCCATAATATTTGCATGTTTTACCTGTGATTTTACCTTATTAGCAGCAGAGAGACGGTAGATACGTGCTACTACTTTTTCTTTTATTGGACTTTCCTTACTGTATTTTGTTATATGTATTCCATTTATGCATAATTTACCATACCTGTAAAAGACCCATAGGGTAGATGACAGAAGACAACTTGTTTAGGAGGAACCCTATAGTAAAACTCTGCGACCCGACAATAATAGACGATCACCAGTTCAAACACACTTCCTAACCATCACAGTAAGAAGCTTCGAGCGAGCTGTCTGAGAAGCAAGACGAGGATGCAAGTGGACAGAGGACAACTTTAGATGGCGGTCAAGACTCAACGTGAAGCAAAGGATGGATCTCATTAAAAGTTTCTATAGTTTTAAACAACATAAATCTTTAGGACTCTGAGGTCATACTTCTAACACAACATGAATTCTTACATTATTTTTAGGCTTTCGCACGAGTATATGTCGTGCTATATAAACCCTAACTATTTTTAGGATTCCGATGTAGGTATTCGATACAACGTAAATCCTCCCATCTTCTCGGGCTATTTGGATATGTCGTGCAAATGTAAGTCCAAAATGTCTAAATAATGTACAGGATTGAAACATTATATATCTTCTCTCTCAAAGACATAAAACCAAACCATAAGATAGTTTGAAATGTCACTGAGGTTTCATTGGTATCTCCGACATCTCCCTTCGGGTTCATAAATAATTGTTTCACATTGAGCTTTTCCCATTTGATATTTTAATAGACAATCGTGGAAACTAAACATTGAATTCTTGAAGATGAAACTCCTGATATTGATCGAGTTAAGTTGTAATTAACTATCGGGGATTGTCCCTATAAGAGAATTAGAAACCCAGATAATCTAAATTTTATTTAATTCTCATATTAGATAGAAGAATTGTCGGTCATAAATTCCGCAGACTAAACGACTGTCATAAATTTCTTTGTTTATATAATCAAGCTTACTGTCAACTAGTATGCTCCTCTCGGGATGACGTATTACTTGTAATATTTCGCTCGATTACTTAAACTATTAGATATATGAGATCTATTTTGCCTCATCTTTTAAAATTAAAATACTATTTTTAGAACCAAAATTATATACATATTAAATTGAAAGCATTTTCAAAAAATAAAAGCAACCGACTTTAAATGGAAAAAATATGTCGTCTATAAAAATAAGTAGCATATAAGAAATCAAGATATGCCAACAAAATTTCAAAGCTAAAAAAAAAAAAGCAGAAATTGCTTATGAAATATAATGAATGCTGTATTTCTTAAAATTAACTAATGGTGTTCCTACTTTTGTTGACTAACCCTCAAAGGTCTTTCACATTTTGAGCCATACAAAACTATTATTGTAATGGGTTAAATAATAGAGTTATGCACATACATGCCACCCAATTCCTATGTATTTACATATCTAACACCTAAACTTTTCCTTTTACATTAATAGCACCCAAGTCTTTCATATCACATTAAAAATACCACCGTTTTAACTTTTATAAAGTGAAATATTTCGTCATGCATGGGTAAGGTGGCGTGTATTGAAAAAATTGAATTTTAGAAAATTAGATATGTAAATACATAGAAATTGAATGTTATGCATGTAAATGATCCTAAATAAATTGCTTTCTTGTTCGTAAAATTCTTCTGCATGCTAATCGTGAAGACACTTTCTCTGCATTTATTCAGAATATTTTGTTACTGTTTTCTGCTTTCACAGGTAAGTGTGGAAAGCTCTCGTACTGATATTGAAGAGTTTGTATGGTCAAATCACAAGCCATGGATTCCCAGACCAATTCTTAGCATGCATGTAAGAATGGGAGACAAAGCCTGTGAAATGAAAGTGGTTGAATTTGAGAATTACATGAATCTTGCTGAGCGGATTCGCAAAAACTTTCCTAATCTTAACAGCATCTGGCTTTCCACAGAGATGCAGGTTCCTTTTTTTTTTTGTTTCAGAGCTTTATACCCTACTAACTTCAGTTGCCCTGTATTTATTTATTTATTTTGCAATATAATGAATTGTGCAGGAAGTTATTGATAAATCAAAATTATACCCTCACTGGAAATTTTATTACACAAATGTCACACGCCAGATTGGAAACATGTCAATGGCCTCATATGAGGCAAGCCTTGGCAGAGAAACAAGCACCAATTATCCACTTGTTAACTTCATAATGGCTACTGAGGCTGATTTCTTCATTGGAGCCTTGGGTTCAACATGGTGTTTTCTAATAGATGGCATGAGAAATACTGGAGGGAAAGTGATGGCTGGCTATCTAAGTGTCAATACAGACAGATTTTGGTAGCTGAAGAAATACATAAAAAAAATGGGTGCATGTGGTATGTAAATATTTCTCCTTTTCCATTTTGCTCTGGCATGGAAGGTTTTTTTTTCTTTAACAGTGTTGTAGATAACTGGGAAGCTGAGGCCACATTTCAGTGGAAGCAATAAGAATAACTGCTCCTGTAAATGCATTTCCATTAGTAAATTTGATTGTAATTTTTAGTTTTGAAAGGTTTTTATTGTTAGAAATGTGTTACTGGTTGATATATTGATAACTGAAAAATGAAATAGGATTTTGCTTCCAAGAAAGCCACCCAAAGGTCTTCTATATGACAACAAATGATCAGTTGAATCCAATTGATTTCATCCTTTTAGTACCGATCTCAGCTGTAATTCTGCTCTAAATTCTCAATTTTTTGACGCAATCTGAGGTTGATGTTTTTCTGGTATTACTACAAGACAAGACTGGTACATATTTTTTATCCAGAGGTTACCTTTTCCCCACGCACGATGTGAGGCATGTAATTTAACTTAAGTTCGAGGTGCCAAGTTGCCAAGTTTGTTGGCAAGGCGCTCTGAAGTTAGTCATTCTCCTCAGGATGACTTTTGTAGATGGTTGTGTGGTCGTTTGATTAGTTAGTTGTCTAGATGGCAGCAAAATTGCTGAGACATTAGTGAAGGTCGACTCATCGGTGTTTAATTGTGTGGCATGTTGGTTGGAAATAAATTGAAGAATTTAAGTTGTTGAGTTTGGTGGCTAGGTCACCAAGAGGTCGGCCGCACTGGGATGACCTATCAAGATGGTTATAATATCGTTGAGAAAGAAGTTGGTAGTGCTACATGATCACTAAGAATTTGGGATAGGATGTTGAGAGTTGTCAATGAAGGGGTGCCAAGCGATTAACTAGGTGTGGCACAACAAGCTGGCAACATTATGGCACATGCACATGAGGCTATGTGCTAGATGTGTGCATGTGAGGCACATAACTTACGCTCAAATGAGTCTGCATAGTGAACACGAAACACAGGGGAGAGCATGTCGAGTGCACAATATGGTTGTGAGTGAAGATTGGCTTGACGTGGATAGGGCTAATAGTTAACGTTCACCGGATGTCGAACGATTATAGAGTTGTCTGAAGGGTCGACACTAAGGGCTGGTGGAAAGAAGTTGCTATTTTACGGTTGATGTGTTAGATGGATCCTAATCCTTATGGCAGCCTAGGATGAAATGAATTTACCTTGGGCTGGTTAAAAAAAGGAGTGGACACAAAGCTATCGTTTACTCTACCAAACTAGCTTTTTTAGCTCTATGTGATTGATTTTGGCTCTATTTAGGACATAATTTATATCCTATTTTTTGTTAATTATTTTTTATATTAAGGGCATCAATTTAATCTCGGTGATTGATATCGATGGACGATGGCACAAGTATAGCTATGAACCAAAGCTAGTTTCATCATCTTATACTTCAAGTTTATTCATAAATCGCTATGTGGGAATGTTTAGTTTGAGCATTGTTATGCCTTATGGGATGAAAGTGGGTTAAGTCTTGATGATCTATAATGACTTGTCCATTCACTCTTTTATGTATATCAAATACAATGTGATGGTATTACCTATTGGTATTACTCCCAAATAATTAGGTATTACTTTTATGCATTTAATGGGTGTTTTATAGTCAATATGACCAATAAAATGTAATTTGTAAGAATAAAATCTATTACATTCAAAGAGATTATGTACATAAAAGTAGGTTTTGTTACCACATGAATTATTTCAATAATTTATTTTTCCTAATTTTCATGTCAAAATATAAGATAGTTTTATGAATCTAAATAAAGCTTAATCTAACCAAATTTAGCCTAAATAATATATAAACATATTTAAGATCACATGAATTTATGAAAATCAAATTCCTTTTACTCATTTGGGCAAAGAAGACAACAAATAAATCAAATTGAAGAAAAAGGGATGGTGGACAATAAAAAAAATATAAGGAAAATAAGGAAGAAGGTGAAGCTCATTGTCTTTTTTTGCTAATTTTGGTCAGCATACAAAAGAATACAAGTGGCTCAGGGTCTGTTTTGGGGCAACTGCAACTTAATAATAAGTTGTTGCGCAGCAGCTGCCACAGAAAGCTGTTTCGCAGAAACTGTTGCGGATAAGCAACTTGTCTGTTTATTTTTTGTAATTTGAAAATAGTTGCGCTGCAGTTGTTTATGGACAAATGACCATTTTGTCCTTGTATAATAATGTTGTTTGCAATAGAGTTGTTCATATCAATACATTCTATATTTTAAAACCAAATATTTAATGTAAAACATTACAAAATAAAGATAGGCACCTCACTAAATAGTGAGTAGCATGACTATCAAAATTAAGAAAATGACTATTAAAACAATAATTATAATATGATAATACTATTTTTAAAATACAGATTACATATTTCACGAGCTAAGTTGTATTTCAGGGATACTCTCCATATTCGATCACTCTCAGCGGTAGAATCTTCTAGCCCATCTACCCATAAAAAATAGTGACAGTTTTCTATGATTCTTAATGGACACCTGTAAAACTGTCTCCCGTAACTTTGTGACTGACGTGAAGTAAGCAATGGAAAATTGAAGTCCACAATAGCAGTGCAATCCTTTAAAGATACCGAAAATCCTCAAGCTTATCTTTTTTTTAATGCTTAAAGAAACATACCCTTAGTCGTAACACTAGTAAAAATCGATAACATAAGTGATTAGTTAAAGTTTTATGCAGTTGTGAAGCCTCAGAGAACTCAGTATATAAACCAACAAACATGTCACTACGAGAAGACAATAGACCTTATAAAAAAAGGCACGTAATACCAAGCTCGTGTATGTCACACATACATATCACCAAAAAAAGGTCATCAAGAAGAACCTCAATAGCCATAGCATAAAAAAATAGAGAACCTTGGTTGCTTTCATTAAGATTTCACATGTAACACTTACCAATATTGACATGAACACCATCCAGAAGAACTCATGAGGTCAAACATCTCATCATAGATCTTCAAACCTCACCAAAAGAAAAAAAAACACGTACAAATTGCATAAAAAAAATCAAAACAGTAGATATCTTAGAAACAGAAATATACATGAACTGTTTAAAATACTGAATGTTTTCAACAATGATTACAATTAACAGAAATAAAACCTAACATTCCCTCCAGCACCCTCCAACTCTCGCACCCGTAATTTGTTATCTCAACTCTATCATCTCACTTGCTCCTTCCCCATCTTGAGTGCGGGTCTGGGGAACATCATTTTCGACATGTGACAAAGTCTGTCCAAGACGATACTCATATGCCTTTACAGGGACATGAGCATCCGCTATGTAGAACTCAATGTTGTTGTGGGAAGGATGTCGCTGAATATAATTGTGGAGAATCATCATGATAAACATAGTCTGTGTTTGCAAAACGGATAATATGACATATTACAAATTATAAATCATTTCTTCTTTCAAACACCAAATGTCCTCTCATTGATATCGCGTAAGAAGAAATGTCTTATGTTGAACATTTATTTCCCGTCATGCGTGACATTACCGACTCACTCAAAATCAGATATGTGGTATCTCGTATCAAGATATGGCTTAGCATAACCTCTCTGCAACATATACACAACAACAACTAAATAGTATTTTCCTGGGGAGAGTAGCTCAATCTCAAGAGAACATGTGTGTAGATGTGGGAAGTTGTATTTGCTATTCTGTGTTGTAAATTTGAAAATTCGATTGTCATGTGCATTGTCCTCCCAATCGACCATGACAAAAGTGAAGCACATGTTAAAGTTACATACTTTCATGACATTATGCATTGACGATCTTCTCATTATTTGAAATACTTGCATCAACGTGTGTTCCATCTATTGCTCCGATTCAATTCTAGAAAGATAACAAAGGGTTACGTAATTACGATATTCATATAAAAATTAAATACAATAAATAGGAGAAATCACCTTAAAGTATGACATATACCACACATTGTGCGAATCTCTATGGGTGTCCGTTCAAATGTAGAATTTATTGGATTTATGACATGTGGAGAAAAACTGACAAGTGCATTCAACTCTACTGAGATATATCTACAAATCATTTTGGAAAAGTATTGAAATCACTTCATAGCTCCTCACAATGTTTCATTCTGCGATAATATGTAGAGGGTTATTGCTAACACCTTTCGTGAAGTCATTCTGGATGAGTTATGAAGTTCATGATTTTTGTGTAATTCCTTCAACAGTTCAGTGAGTACCGTCTGTGTCATGTGGAGCATTTTGCTAAACTTCATTGGGTGGCCCACAAGTAACTCCCCAACTCATTTGTCGCTAACATATGAGGATGTCATGCAAGGGGAGCGTTATATGTATGAGTTATAGTAATCGCACATCAAACATACTACAACTACAACTCTCCTTCTGCTCATTTCTCTATTTGCATTCATGTATTTAGGTATTGAAGTGGCTAACATATAAGCATCAATGAATTAGCTCCATTTATATAAGGTTATGAACAAAATCAATATAAATAGATAAAGTTATAGAACTAAATAGAAAACATAACAAGGAATGAAAAAGTCTTAAGTAAAGTGACATGTCCAAAGCATCATAAATATCCAAAGCAGCATGAAAAATCATAAACAAATAAAAATGTTCAAAGTAAATAAACAAATAACAAATATTAAATGTCTCACAAGAATCTAATAAAAAAAGTGTCCCTCAAAAGACACTACTCCCATGAAAATAACATAGGTAAGCCACCATACAGTCAACGATCCGTCATGAAAAACTCTCTCTGGGTCGAATATTCAAGCAACTTCATAAAGAACAAATAAAGCAAGATGTCATCGTAAATTTTTGGATTTGCCTTCAGAATTCACAGAACCTACTGGACGGAAGTTCTTTAGATGGGCCAGAATCATTGGGTATGAAACCACCCTGTGAGATCTGGCTTCTAGGGAAAGTAACTCTTTTTTTTCTTTTTCTCGGACCGGGGAGGTTTTGACTGACTAGTGGACTCAACTTTATAAAGGTTCAGATTGGGGCCTTTATTGGATTCACCTGTGTGATCAGCTCCAAATTTTCGGGGATGCTACCAAAATTTTCACTTGGGGTATATACATTGTTGTCCGTTGCCATGATACCTCCAAACATATGATCAAATTTCTCCTCTAACACTTGATCGATTCCACTGTATTTACATTTTTTCGCAATAGACACCACCTACATTCATATAACTTGTTGTTGGATTTGAAAATAATTAAAAAATAGCAAAAATAGGGGACATTTCAAAATTGCTCACTGCCATTCTCTCTGCCCACCATTCATTGGAAGCATCAATCGTTCGTTTTATTGGATCCCACCCCAAGCCTGTTGATTCTCCCTTCAATCCCTTCCAGATTTTTCAATCATTCTTTAACTGATCCCACTTATTTTTTAACTGCATTCTTTCATACTCTTTGTCTGTACTTTCCATAAATTTTTTAATAATATTCGAAAGCCTTCCTTGTTGAAATAGGTTGTCGACCTATTTCTCAATTCGACCTCATTGAGGCAAAGGTCGCAAAATATTATCTTTGTATCATTATCCCACAGCACAAATGAACCAGTCTCTTTGGTCTTAACCATTATTTATACTGTCATGAAACAAACTAATCAACATAAATAGGATGTCATAAAAAATATTTATCATAGCTCAAAGAAAAGTAGGAGTGCCACAATAGCATCACCACTGCCTCTCCACATCCACCAACACAAGCACATTCAGACACAAACAACTCCATACACCAACACATCAAGAGACCAACACCTCCACACATCCACAACCATAAACACGACCACACAACTCCACACCACCTACACATCACCACTGCCCCTCCTCAACACCACCACCAGCACATCCACCAATACAAACACAACCACACACCTCCACACCATCTACACATCACCACTGCCCCTCCACAACCACCACATACACATACACATCCACCAAGAACAACCCATTTATATTTCCAAATGATTGCACATGCAATCAACACATCCACCCAAGTGAAGTATTCACCTTAAATTAGAATAACAACTAAACAGAACAAAGCCAGAGCAAAATTGCAAAATGAAAAGACAGTTAGGTATATAAATATCAGACAATGAAGAATGATAATGCATAGGATAGGTTCTGTTCAATACAAAGCCCACAGCCCACTAGTCTCCCTTGGCAAACAATATATTTCAACCTCATGCATATTTCCAACCTCAAGAAAGGCAATACCGCAAGATAGGCAGAGCCAACACACATGTATTTCCAACCTCAACTGAAATAAAAAAAAAATCCAAAAATCATTCAAAATCCACACTATTTAGTTGGGAATACATAAATAGGTAGAGTAAAACCAAAACTCCAAAAACCACCGGATACAAAGAATTCAACAATAAAAAAATCAAAAAATCATTTCCAACGGATGCGCATTTCCAACCTCAACACATACAACCAGATATGTGGAATTCCAAATAGAACACTACCAAATCCAAAAATCCAACCTTAACTGCAATCCACCAACGCATATGCATTCAATAATTAAAAACCACAACATATTAAAGAAAGGGAATGACGCAAGATAAGCAGAGCCAACCAAAACTAAAAAAATCAGCACATGAACAAAAACCACTGCACAGAAGGCAATAGTGATCTTGACAAAGTCGAAGAACAGGGAGAGGAGACATCTTACCGTAGAGATAGATAGAGAGAGAGAGAGAGAGAGAGAGAGAAGGATTAGGGCAAGTGTTGGCGAGAGAGAAGGATCAGGGCAAGTGTTGCGCGAGGGATGAAGGCAATACTGGATCGCAACAGAGGGGGTTAAGGTAAGAGCCGCCAGAGAGAGGGAGGCACCCGTGGGGTTCGTGAGGGCAACATGACAAAATGAACAAAGCGAACGCGAGCCGCAAGGTGATACCTGAGGCTGCATTTCGTTACTAGTTTTTCCAAACTGCCAACACGCCACAACAACCAAATCCTCCCAACGCACCACAGCTAAAAAGCTGCACCAAACTGACACTCATTTTTGGTGAGGAGAGAGAGAGAGAGAGAGAGAGAGAGAGAGAGAGAGAGAGAGAGAGAGAGAGAGAGAGAGAGAGAGAGAGAGAGAGAGAGAGAGAGAGAGAGAGAGAGAGAGGCTTCAAGTTTTGGGTGGTTTTTAAATCTTGACCCAAAACGGCTCGAGACAGAGGAATCTTATAATTTGCATGCTGTTTAGGGCAAATACAATGTAGAGTAACATGAGATGAATTGGGTCAGAGTGATTCAAATGTTGGCATGTGTAAATTTTTATTTAATAAATCATCATGTTCATCTCTACGAATGAATTTACTCAATTGTCCGCCAAAATCTAAAATTTAAGCTCTAAAAATTCATTTTATATACAATTGGAGCCATCCATCTATAAATTTTGCAAAAAAGTTTTAGAAATCATCAATTTCATTAATTTGAATAATATTAAAAAGGGGCATTTACATTAATACCACACAATTTCTACTTATTTACAAATTTAACACTTAAATTTTTACATACTACCTCTAAAAAGTGAAATACAACTTTATAAATTATTATAAATATAAAAATTAAAATTTAGGTATTATATGTATAAATACATTTAATATATGATATATAAAGTAAATTTTCATAATAAAAAAAAATATAAGGCTATTACATACAGTCATATGAAATTTCCTATTTACAAATCAACCACCCTCTTTCATTCTTTTTCAAATTCTTACTTAAATATCAAAATTCATGGTAAAATCTTAATCCATTTTTTTCATTTTTATTAATTCAAAAAAAATTACTGGATGATTTATTTGTAAATATGAATGTTTCGGACGTTCTTTATGTAATTATCCCTAAAAAATATGATCAGTTGTCCGCTGTTGAACTAACGTATAAATAGTTCAGCCTAAGGACCACTGGATCTGAATTGTACGGGTGATCCATTTTCGGAGTCAGTGAGCAGCCGACGGTGCCGAAAGAGCGAGGTTAATGGCGGAAACCGGAGGCGGGATCGAGGTGACGGGCATGCAGTTCGCCTACGATGGCCGGCAACGGATTTTCGCTCGCTTTAGCCTCGAGGTCTCTCCCGGTTCTCGTTGCCTGCTCATCGGAGCTAATGGATCTGGTTGGTAACTGCCCTTCAATGGGATCTCTCGTATAACGAACCTGAAACTTTTGGTTGAAGGATATGCATCATTCAATAACTTTTAGAAAAACACGTCTTATTTAGCCCCTTGCAATCGATTCTTACTTCAAGCAATTGCGATACTAGATTTTCAAGACAGAAATATACATAATCGTTTTGTTTTGCTCGAGGTGGTTGTTACATGATTTGCCTATAGTCTGTTTCTAGTCTATAAACTATGGTTTATGTTAGGGTAAACTTGTTTGCGTCAACTTGCCATACTGTAGGCATATTTGGGGTTATTGAAGTTGGTAATTGATAAAGTGAGAATTTATTGCTATGTGTGGCGTTCTTCGGAGGGGAAGAAAAGTAATTGAAGAATTGAGATTTGAAATTCTGTGCTGAATGATTTTAGTATACAAATAAATCAGGTGGGCTGAAGACACGGGGCTTTGGGGCTAATACAGGCCATGCTAATTATCTACATGTTTTCCCACTATTTTAACATATTTTGTGACAAACTGACAATAACCCATATGGCTCATGAATGAGAGGAGGTGGTTCCGTGACCTGATGACAAGATGATGGCCTGATTGTAGCACAACATGGTGTGTCAAGACAAAGGAACTCTAGACAATTATCCATTTAAGGTGCCCATAATAGGTTGTTAATCTTGATCTTTTCAAATTGTCATCATCCTCAATCTTCCTCTTTCTTTGTCTCTGTTGAAAGATCTTGAAAATACTAATGATTATATTCCATATTTGTTATAACTCTATATTTAGAGGGTTATAAATTATATGAGGGATCTTGAGATCTCTATTTATTTCTCTATTTATTTCTCTTCTTAATTAGAGAGATTAACTGTCTCTTATATTTTGTTATTATTTATTTCCTTTTCTACTGTATTCTGTTTTTATTGCATTCCTTACCAGTAAGTCCTGTAATGAGTATTTATATCACTTTTTTCATCAATAAAATCAAATTCTCTTATATCTTTTCAAGATATCAGAGTCATACTAATCTTCTTAGGTATGACGATTTCTTTCTCTTCCTCCCAAGAAATATCCTCCGCTGCGCTTGTTCCAACCGGAATCGATGAAACTTCCTCCCTCATCACTGACCATAAACTCAACGACTAGAATTACCTCTAGTGGTCCCAATCCGTCATGATGTTTATCTACGACAGAGGCAAGAAAGACTATATCACCGGTGATGTCGTCGCTCCGACCAAGGATGACTCAAAATTCCGGACATGAAATGCAGAAAACCACATGGTCATGTCGTGGTTAATCAATTTCATGACCAACGACATCAACAAAAATTTTCTTCTCTACGGCACGGCGAAGATTATTTGGGATGCTGCTCGAGAGACATGCTCTCACTCGAATAACATATCCAAGCTCTTTGAGATTGAGTCAATCTTCCACGATCTTCGCCAAGGTGATCAATCTGTGACTCAGTATTTTAATGTCCTTTCACGTTACTGGCAGCAGGTTGACATGTATGAAACATGTATGAAGTCCTATGAAGTCCATGCCTGGTCATGCACTCTGGACTCCAACTTATACCGTCAGATCATCGAGGAAAAAAGGTTATTCAAATTCCTTCTCGGCCTTAACAACTCTCTAGATCATGTCCGCTCTCATGTATTAGGCTTTAAACCACTACCGAGTATTCGCGAGTCCTTCTCCGAGGTTCGCCGCGAAGAAAGCCGCCAGAAAGTCATGCTTGGGCCTTTCTCCACCTCCCCCAATCTCTCCATTGACGGCTCCGCCCTTGCAGTTCGGGTTCCTCCGCCTTGACACAACGACAACCCATCACGCAAGGGTCGTCCCTGGTGCGATCATTGCCGCAAACCGGGCCATAATAAAGATAAGTGTTGGTGTTTCATGGAAAGCCAGTCGATTGGAAGCCTCGGTCTGATCGCGTTCCTCGTGCCAACATCGTCGTCGCTGTCGATGACCTTCTTGCACCAGCACCCAGTCCATTCAGCAAAGAGCAACTCGATTTGCTGCACAAATTGATCGGCAAACCACCTGATCTGACTGTTCCTGACCTCATCACTGGTCTGCTCGCGCAGCAAGGTACGTTCTACCACGCCTTCACAGTCAATCAAGGATCCCTCGGTCAATGGATCATCAATTCTGGCGCTTCTCATCACATGACTAACGACGTCTCCCTTCTCCATGACTATATGTCATGCGGAGATAACTCCACCATCCGCGTTGCCGATGGCTCTGGCTCCAAAGCCATCGGTTTTGGCTCTGTGTGCATCACCCAAAACATTCTACTCTGATCTGTGCTTCATGTTCCTACTTTAAATTGTAATTTAATATCCATCGGAAAGTTGACTTGTGATCTGAGGTGTATTGCTAAATTTTTCCCTACCACGTGTGAATTTCAAGATGCAGATTCGGGGACGACGATTGGCAATGCTGAGATGTGCTCGGGTCTCTACGTCATCAACAATACTTCACCACCAAGACCTCGCTGCGTACATTTGTCTACCCATCATTCTACCTTCAATTCTTATGTCAATAAAGATTCCAAGATTATGTTATGATATTTTCGACTTGGTCATCCAAATTTTATGTATCTTGCAAAACTATTTTCAAATTTAAACTATTTTTCTTGCAAAACTATTTTCAAATTTATTTATCAATAAAGATGTTTGTTCTTTTCAATGTGAATTTTGTCAACTTGCCAAATACACTCTCACGTCATTTCGACGTGTTGGTTACACCTCTTTCCGGCCCTTTGCACTCATTCACATTGATATCTAGGGCCCATCTCGTGTTACAACCCTTACCGGGACTCGGTGGTTTGTCTCCTTTATTGATGATCACACTTGACTAACGTGGTTATTTCTTATGAAAGATAAATCTGCAGTCGGTCACATATTTGAACAATTTTACTCAATGATCCAAACACAATTTCAAACCTCCATCCAGGCACTCAAGGCTGATAATGTAAAGGAGTACAATGCTTCCGTCCTCGGTTCTTATCTCTCCTCTAAAGGCATTCTTAATCTCAGTTCTTGCTTCGACACTCCTCAATAAAATGGGATCGTTGAACGCAAGAACCGTCACCTTCTTGAGGTGGTCTGCTGCCTCATGTTTTCCTCTAACGTGCCTAAGGTTTTTTGGAGTGATGTTGTATCCACTGTAGCCTACCTCATCAACAGGATGCCTTCTCGGGTCCTCAAATTTCAAAGTCCAGTCCAACTCCTTAAATCGTTTCCCCACACCAAGACAATTGCCCAAAATCTACCTACCGAAGCATTTAATTGCTCCTCTTTTGTTCACATTCATTCACCACATTCATTCATTCATTCACACAATCGCAGCAAACTTGACCCTAAATCTACTAAATGTATTTTCCTCGGCTACTCGCCTCTTTAAAAAGGGTATAAGTGCTACTCACCTCTTACAAGAAAAACCTACAACGCTATGAATGTCACCTTCTTTGAAAATAAGTCTTACTACCCCAATTCTAATATTCAGGGGGAGAATTTGAGGGGATATCGGTCTTGAAGGGACAAGGATTTCATACCACCACACACCAAATCCTCATCCCCTGAACCGAACTCATTATCTCCTGACTCAGATTCAACAAGTTCATCCAACTCACGCGAAAATGTATCTAACAATCAGTCTCCGTCTAGTCCTAAGTGTTCAACTCGTCACCCATTCTTGCACTACCTCCCACGAACAACAAACACATAGACCACCCAACACATCTAGCACCAATCCAAGAGTCAGAACCGGATCCAACTCCTACAGAAATCCACTCAGGTACGAACACACTTGAACATGAATCTACTATACTTATGATTGATGACTCTGACATTCCAATTGCTTTAAGGAAAGGTGTTAGGTCCATCCGACCTCCACTCAGTTACGAACACACAATGCATCTGATCTCCAATTTTGTGTCCTATGAAAGACTATCTTCAACTTACCGAGCCTATGTCATTGCACTCGACAATACATAAGTCCCAAACACCATTGATGAAGTTCTCAAACACCCGGGGCGGAAAGCGGCCATCAATGAGGAGGTAAGAGCCCTACAAAAGAATCATACATTGACTGTTTCAGACCTGCCAAAGGGAAAGAAAGCAATCAACTGCAAATGGATCTTCAAAGTCAAACACAAGGCAGATGATACAATTGAAAGATTAAAAGCACATCTTGTAGCAAAATGTTTTTCACAGTCCTACGGCATTGATTACCAAGAAACTTTTGCCCCCGTGGCCAAACTTAACACCATCAGAATTCTTCTCTCACTTGCGGCAAATGAAGACAAACAGCTACATCAACTCGACGTGAAAAATGCTTTCCTGAATGACGATTTGGAAGAAGAAGTTTACATGGAAGCGCCTCCCGGACTAGAAGAATCTATTCCAAACAACAAAGTTTGTAAATTCCAAAAATCATTGTACGACCTCAAATAATCTCCCCGAGCATGGTTCGATAGATTTATAAAATCTGTGACAAAACACGGGTATACTCAGTGTCAGACAGATCACACTCTCTTCGTGAAAACCTCTCCTGAAAAGAAGATTACAATTATAATCGTATACATCAACGATATAATCCTCACTAGAAATCACAAAGAACTCACAAATCTGATAAAGCTTCTCACTCGGGAATTCGAAATCAAAGACCTCGGAAACCCAAAGTTCTTTCTCGGCATGGAACTAGCTCGATCAAAATGAGGAATATTTTGTGCACAACGGAAATATACATTGGACATGTTGAAGGAAACATGTATGCTCGATTGCAAATCCGTCGATACTCCAATAGATCCCTACAAGAAGATCGACCCTGAGAAAAATAATGCACATGTGGATAGGGGGAGATGTCAGCGACTCGTGGGGCGACTCATCTATCTCTCACACACACGACCCGACATTGATTTTCCTGTTAGTGTTGTTAGCGTTGTTAGTCAATTCATGAACAACCCTACGGAAGAACACATGAATGCAATCTACAGAATCTTGAGATATCTCAAGATGACTCCAGACAAAGGGCTACTATTACAAAGGAATAAGGATCGAAGTATAGAAGTGTATTCAGATGCAAACTGGGCAGAGGATATCTCGGACCGATGATCGACTCCCGGCTATTGCACTTTTGTTTGGGGAAACCTAGTCACTTAGAGAAGCAAAAAATAGTTTGTGGTATCAAGAAGCAACACTGAAGCTGAATTCAGAGCTCTTGCACTCGGGATCTGCGAAGGAATGTGGATTCGAAGAATACTCAGCGAATTTGGAATGCTAACTGAAAAAACTGTCAAACTACAATGCGACAACTAGAAAACCATCAGTATTGCAAAGAATCTAGTACACTATGACAGAACGAAACACATTGAGATCGATCGATGTTTTATCTCAGAAAACATTGAGAGAGGAGTCGCCGAACTTGCATGCATTCATTCACGACATCAAACAACAGATATCCTCACTAAGTCTCTCTCAAGAATCAAATTTGAAGAATTATGTAATAAGTTAGGCATGTACAATATGTACAACCCAACTTGAGGGGGAGTGTGGAAAGATCTCGAAAATACTAATGATTATATTCCATATTTGTTATAACTCTATATTTAGAGGGCTATAAATTATATGAGGGATCTTGAGAATCTCTATTAATTTCTCTCCTTAATTAGAGAGATTAGCTGTCTCTTATATTTTGTTATTATTCATTTCCCTTTCTACTGTATTCTGTTTTAATTGCTTTCCTTACCAGTAAGTCTTGTAATGGGTATTTATACCTTTCTTTTCATCAATAAAATCAAGTCCTCTTATATCTTTTCAGTCTCAGTCTCTCTCCCCTTGTTTAAAGCTTTTCCCACTTTGCTGGGTAGAGATTTTGTCTAGGTTGGTTCTGTTTGAGCTTCAAAGGGAATCTTAGTTAAGCAAAAAGTTACTGTTTAAGGGGATCAGGAGAAGGTCCACTGATGGATTATCGGCTCTATAACCGATTTGCACTCTTGCTTTCTATGTTTTTCTGAATCTAACCCGTTATAATCATTTTTTTAATGAGTTCAATATAAGAACTTATTTGCACGAACTCCATTATTCTAAATCTCTTGTTGTCTTTCATTTTGGTGATAGCCAGAGTATTGCAGGTCATTTGACTCTAATTCTTCTCGGGTGTCAAAATCATTGGTTGATGAGTGTGGATCCTATGGTGTCTAGGAACAATTATCTTTCATTAAATGTGAGAAGGTTGAGCTTCAAGTCATGAAGGCCAACTAGAAACTCAATCTTTGAAATACAATCATCAATCATCTATGATAAATGGAGGAGCGTGTTGATGTGATGTTACACAACTTCTCACAATTATCTCTTTCTCTAGTTAATATGGTCTATCCGGCTCCTATCCCAATACATTATTCTCCAACGGCTCCTCCAACATTGGACCTCTCTTAAAATCATATGGGATCCTCCTCTACTCCTATTGCTCTTGAGGAACCGGGTGAAAATGCTGGCTCATCCCACATCTTGTTGTAATACTTGTGGTACACGAAATGGGTATACAAATCATCTTTATGCAACAACCTTTCCTAAATAAAATGTTTGACATTTGCTGGCAATGCTTGAGATAGACAATGCCTGAGATAGATGCTTTCGCCATTTCTGATTTAATTGGCTGTCTCTTTAGCATGTAACTCCCATACAAGAAAATCTCAAGGAAGTGTGAGTCTTAAGAAAGTTGATATCTTTAAATAGAGAAAAATCACAAATAAATTAATATGAGAAATCTTTATGGCTCATATCCTAAACCTCATAATATATGCTAAATTTAGGACAAGGTAAGGAATATTTCATAATCCTTCTACACAAAATTTTAAAATACATAATTTTTTTCTTAAAACGTCCATGATTTTATTTTCAAATTCAAAACAAGGCTTCACGAAAAGAAGTATATTCTTAATGATAAATAATGCACTTGGCTTGCATTTGGTTTCTTGTGGGCCTATAAATTTCTCGAGGCTTGGTTATCAAAGTAAAAAAAAAGAAAAAAAAAAAGTATTGTAGCAATAAATGATGACGCACGTGTTAAGGGTTTGAGTTATATCATAGAATTTTTTGTCATATGTGATGTTGCGTCATTTGACTATTTCATGAAACCAAACAGTATGTAGAGGCTTCACAATCAACTTCAAGTACTTATCATATTTAGGGAAGTCTTAGGCTATGGTTTCAGTCCTCCTACCCTTAAGGAGGTCAAATGCTTTGGTAGTTGCAGGTGTCAGATAATTTTATTAATAATGTAATATCTATTAGAGAGCTTGGAGGCAATTAATGGTATGTTTTGAAGTTGTTCTGTGGAGGTGTTTTAGTAAGTGGTTTTAGTTTTGGTAAATGTGGGGAAGGAATTGATTGAAAGGATAGAGATATCATTTAGTTGGGTGCTCCATCCGGCGTGATCCTGTAGATATGCAAGAAATCCTATTTTAATATAAAAAATAATGACATGAAAACACGAAGGAAGATGAAGGATCAAAATAGTGCATTTACAATCTACTTGTCCAGCAGTTTTGGTGAGGGCAGACAATCTGGAAACATTTTAGATGCTGGAGGGTTAGCTGTGATTGTAGGGTGGGAAGACAGGTTATTGGGGTAGAGAATTACAGGGTTATGGCAATGAAGGAGAGTTAATAGGTTTCTATGCCGTTAGTTTTGCAGCATTCTTTGGTTATTTATAGAAATGGTAGAAAACTAACATATATTTGGTTATAGTAATAACAGTAAATTAGAAATATCAGATTACCCTCATGGGAAATTTGCATGAAATGTCCCATATACTGATGACAACAGTGATGAACATAAAATAACATAAATTCCATTCGTCATCAAAGAAAATTGAAAGTAGACTAAGATTGGAATTCAACCACATGATTAGGTCTAGCTCGGATTGACATTGATAAGGATAGACTTTGTTTCAAGTGTTCTTATGATTGTCATCATCAGGCTCTCTTACCAGTTCAGTCATGTGCTGTATTTGAGCTTTTAAATATATCAAAACGTTACATTTCATTATTCATTTTTAAAATGTATATTATGAGAGCATGGCTTTTCACACTGCCCACTTGACACTTGTACGTCAGCTTTTGCAAGTCGTTGTCTTCAACAAATATATGTTTTAACTTCTGGTTTGGTTTTTTGTAGGTAACCTTGTTAATCCAAGTATTACCTTTTGTATGTACACTGCAGGCAAGACTACTTTGCTAAGGATTTTGGCAGGAAAGCACATGGTAGGAGGAAGGAATGTAGTCCGAGTCCTTAATTGTTCCGCTTTTCATGATACACACCTTGTTTGTAGTGGAGACCTTGCTTACTTAGGAGAATCTTGGAGCAAAACTGTTGGTTCCGTTGTGAGTTTTCATGAGTTCATAGTTTATATCTTTTAAACATTTATCACAGCTGTTGTAACCCCGAGTTGTTCTCTATGATACACTTTAATTTGTCTCAAAATGCATCTCAGGTGAAAAGTAACCCCGAGTTTTCCAAGTGAAATCATAACATTAGAACCATTTTGAATATTCCTTCATCTTATTAGAAATTGACATGCTTGTTGAGAAAATTGATTATTTAGCATCTTGAAAATCAGATTATATTTTTAAGAACTAGCTAGGGCATACTGTCCAAGCAATGTGAGTAGTTCTATTGGGTTTATGTATTGATCTAAATATGCTTTGTTAAAGAGTACAAGAGATGAAACAACGTTGCTGGAAATACGTATGAGCTGATTAACATCATATGTGATCTATTTATGTTTTTATATTGCTGACTAAGCATTTTATAAATCGAAATATTTGGCTAAGATGTAGCTGAGGTGCTGCCCGGGTAATATGTGTAGTTTTATTGGGTTTATGAAATTGATCCACATATTCTTGTTGGAAAGTACAAGATAGGAAGCAACACTATAGGAAAGTACTTGCTAGTTTATTAGCAGGAGATGTAATTCTATTTATGTTTTTATATTATTATAATTGAGGATATTTTTCTCTTAATTTTCTAATTTTGTATCCACAATATTTGCCAATATATACTCCTCTAAGATAATATAACAACTAAGCTCCTTTCCCTTAAACATGCTATCAAAGCAATGTTAATCCCTAGGCTGCACTCACTTGCACCTGTGCATTCCGTTGCACTTCTTCAATAGTGCTAATAACCCTAGTCAACGCACAATCTCCTTGATTCTACTTAAGGTATATTTCCTTCTCACGATGATACGGTCTCTCTCTCTTTTTTTGAGACAAAACTCTTCAGTATTGGCACCATCATCATTTTTTTGCTGAGTGCCTTTCGTTTTTTTGTTGTTTCTCATGGTAGACTTCGCTATCTTGTTGAATCTTCTCTGATTCATGATGTCTGGCACCATAAAAAATTTGAAATCTTAGGAATCTGATTATACTGTTCTCATTTGGTTATTCAACATCACTGCCATGTCCAAAGATACTTTAACGAAGATTTGGAAATTTTCGTTTCCCCTATTTCTAGAAAAATAAATTTTCTTATGTCCACAGACTATGTCCTGAGTTCTTACCTGATTTGCCTCTCTATAAATATTATGGTACCTTGTCATAAAACTCACAAACTAAAAAAAATTAATTGAGTTGTTTTTTGTTGCTAAATTTGTCAGCATGTTTAATCACAAATGATGGCTCACTCCACCATTCTAAGCATTAACAACGCTTTCTCTTCCTTTCCTCCAACATGCTTAATGACAAATGATGGCTCACTCCACCATTCTAAACATTAATAATGCTTTCTCCTAACTTCTTTAGTCCATTGATTGCTTGGCCTTTTCTCAGCTAATCTTTAGCCAATTTGTTTTTGGTACTGGATATTTTGGTTCCTAATAAGATTTATCTCGTCAGATTTTTCTCCTCCTGGCATATGTTATCATCATCTACCAACCTAACTCGCATCACATAGCCCTTCATAATCTTTTTAAAATTTTTAGGACTATTATTAGTATAAGACTTTAAAACAACTTGGAATTGTTATGCACCTGTTATTAATCACTATGCATTAATGTATCCATAAAAGTTATGATATGCAAAGCAAATGACACACTCAATACGAAGAAATTTTTATAACATGGCTTACACATTATTTTTTTCCTTTATTAGAAATTAAGTATACAATCGTATGGTAGGATTTTGCTAGGCACAAAATTTCTTATTTTTATCGCCTTAAGATACAGTTCTTTCATAAACAATCTAATAAAAATATCAATTTCCTCAATAATACAAATTCCTAAATTATAACTTGAAATTAAATTAATTAACTTAAAAATAATATTTTTACCTCAAGAAGATTTCTCATCATTTAAGCCTCTAAGTTTGCAACTTGAAACCACCAAAAAAAAAAAAAAAAAACAGAAAAAATCGAATTTCTTACCTAAATTCCTGGCTTACTTTCCTTCTTCCTTCGCTTTAGCTTCCCTTCTCATCTCATTCTTCCTTCTTCAACTGCATTACCTGAGCCCTCTGAAATTGGATACAGTGAGGTAACGGGAATGGATGTACAGGATACACGGATTAACATAGGATACACGTATTATAATCCATCACATATTAAGCTATTAAGTTGAGCAGTATCATGTTCACTAAAAATGTAAATGTATTGATGCTTTGCTCAATCAACTCAATTAACGGATGTTTTCCGTAAAATCTTTTGGTATCTTATGAATTAAGACCTCATTTTGTTTTTTTATTCAAATTGCAGGGCGATGTTCCACTCCAAGGTGATTTCTCAGCGGAGCACATGATATTTGGAGGTTTGTTTCTCTCAATGATTTTCTTGGAGTTTCCTCTGCGTATCAAAAATCTCGCTGAGATTGGGGCCTTAATAGTAGAATCTGCTTTTGTTTCTGATGTCTTATCCTAGCTTTGTAAAATAAAATAAGTTGCTAACCGAATCATCATGTTTGGGTTTACCATATTGTACTTTGATACCCATAAGAAAGAATACGAATAAAAATTGTAGATCAAATATGGTATTATTAATTATTAAGCTTTCTAAGAATAAATGGATAAGGATTTATAGCAGATTGTTCCCAAAGCATATGGTCCCATAATATCAAGTCTGTTCCCTCGAGTCAAATTAACCGTTCTATGCCACAGTGGTCAACCTAACAATTATTTTTGGTTGGATCAGAAAGTTCTGATTAAGCCAAATAGATGACTCCTATAGGAACTTAAGTTTGATATGCTGTTAAATTTTTCATGATATGCTAATTATTGTAGTTGGTTGAGCAATCAAGATAGGCATTAAATATGAGCTTTATGCAGGCTTTTTTCGTTATTCTTTTTATGATTTTTTCATAGTTGAAGGAGCTGATCCTCTTAGGAGAGAGAAACTGATTGACCTGCTTGATATTAATCTACAATGGAGGATGCATAAAGTTTCAGATGGCCAGCGCCGTCGTGTCCAAATTTGCATGGGTCTTCTCCGTCCATATAAGGTAAAACATCACCACATAACATTTCTCACGCCAATAAACTCTATGAAGCAGAGACTTTTTTTAATTCTTTTTGTAGGTTGTCTTGTTTAGGTGGTATCGTTTATAAAATCAAACTTAACACTTTTGTAAGAGCTTTTTTGTAGTTTAAATAGGAGTTGAAAACCCGAATGCACAAACACATTTCTATCGCTTGTAGTTGGAATTTAATACCTCCAGATAAGGGTTTCTATTAATTAATCTATAAATTTCAGCATCGAAAGAATATGAATGTGAAGATGGTTTGTCAACATTAAGAAGAATAGATTGAAAAATAATTATATTAATGATGTGGGGCATTTGGTCGCTCTGTTGCCTAGACCGGTTCGGTCCAGGGGTTTTGAGGCCAGTCGGCCCTCTAGGCAAAGGAGTGTCGCCTCTTTTTAAGAGAGGGCGTACTCCTATTTATCTAGGAATATATATTTGTTTTTGTTGGTATTTAGGGTTATATTTTGTTGTGATTTGCTTTGGGACAGCCATCAGCGTTTCCTTTTTCTTTTACGGGTTGTATCCTTGGATTCCCATGTGATGCTTCAGCTGTATTTTGGTCTTCAGGTGGTGTTATATCATTCATATACCTTTTCCACGTCACTCCTACACCTCCTTCCCTTCCTCCTTGCTATCACCACCCAGAATAGCCCTTTTGCAGCTATTCCTGTTCCTTGCTTATTGTCCAAACTCTTGGAAATTGTTGTCCTGTTGTTTCCAACTTCCTAGCCTCCTCTTTGCCACCACACAGGAGGTCTAAACCCTAATCAGCACTACCTACATCCTAGATCCATCCTTAATTCCAATGTTATATCATTATTTTGTTGTAATTCTAATTTTTTTTGCTTTTTGTTGTAATTTTAAACTTTGAATTCTAATAATATTTCTTTTCCTTAGGTGTTTGTTAAATTTCACTATCATTTGGTATCAAAGTTAACCTAACCCTAGTTCCATCCTAGGGTTATCAAAATCGACCAATACTTAATCATATGTTTTTTACACCCTAAATCAATCTCATACACCCTCTTTCATCTTCCAAACTTAAACTCTAGCCATGCCACCAATGAAATAAGTGTCAGTAGTCGATCGAAACTTATCATGGAAGGGATGCAGCGAGAAATATGTCGACTTTAGCGAAGACTTGTTAAAATTGAGGAAGGGACCCATGGAGAGATCGTCGTCGATCGTGATAGTAAGATTTGATGGTGAGAGAGAGAAAAAAATATGAGTCTCTTTCATAGGGACGATTCCAGTGAAGAGGAGGATATGCCACAACGCTTTGGAATTCAATATTAGAGGAGGCCAAGGGATGAAGTGCTTTTGGGCGACATGGAGATTTGGGACTGAAGGTAGATTTACTGGATTTCAAGGGGAGAATGAATCTGGGTGACTTTTTTGAGCATTTGCTGAATTGTTGAGAGAATTCTTAAGTATACGGATGCATCAACTGATAGGAGAGTGAAACTTGCTACCATTAAACTGAAGAAGAGTTATTTCCTGTGGTGTGAGAATCTGAAGATGGTGAGACAGAGGGAGGTAGGAAGTAGATCACCTCATAAGAGAAGATGAAGGAGATGCAGAGGAAGTACTTACCTCACACTACCACTAGGACATGTTCTTGATGCTCCACCACTTATAATAGAGAGAGTTGAAGTGGACGAGTTCATGGCAGAGTTTGAGCAATTCATGCTGAAATGTGAGTTGACATAGCCAGAGGAGCACACTATAGCCTGGTATTTGGGAGGCCTGATGTCAAATTTCAACACTGTTGTCCAGCTGCAGCCTTATTGGTGATTGGGATATAGTCAGACCTTGGCATTGAAGGTGGAGAGATGACAAATATAGAGTAGACACCCACCATCATTCAAACAGCCACAACAGTCCTAGGAAAGATGTGAAGACTGGTCAGAGGTATGATAGAGCCGATCACAATGAGAAGAAAGAAGAGTAGCACACCCAACACTGTTCTAGCCAAGAGTGCTTCAAGTGTCATAAATATGGACACATCGCTTTCGGTTTCCCTACTAGTAGAGTTGTTTCCTTCACTGAGCAAAGTGCAGTGAAGGAAGTGAGTGAGGAGGAGAGAGAAGAAGAGCAGGGTGACGAGTAGTAGCTTTATAGAGATGACGGTGAGATGTTAGTTGTGAGGAGGATTCTACAGATGAACCAAAGCGTGATCACTCTTAGTTGACAATGTCTTTTGCTCCAGGCACACTGTGAGAGGGTATCTTATTATTGATGGAGAGAGTTGTGAAAATGTGATCTCCATTCTTATAATGAAGAAGGTGGATTTGACTACTCAAAAGCATTTTCAATCTTATTCTTTGATCTTGTTGAAAATGGGAATGGGATACGCATGGATCAACAATATTTGGTAGAATTCTCTATTGGCAACTAGCTGCAGGATCAAATATGGTTTGATGTGCCCATGGATGTCTGCCACATTTTGTTGGAGAGACCGTGACAGTTTAATTGCTGGACTCAACAGGATAAGTTCACGAACACCTACTCATTCACGAAGGAGGGGAAGCATATGGTTCTTTTTCCCATCAAGGAATTTGGAGGAGCTGACAGTGACATTGAAGAAGAGACAATGGCCCTATGTGCCACTTTTCTATAGTCAGTGCGGGAGACCCCAATGGCGATGAACTTTGTCATCTTAGAGGGGACTGAGTTACCACAGATGATACAATCTTTACTAGCTAACTTTCGGGATGTGATGATTGATAGCTTAGAGGGACTACCACCTACGTGAATCCTACTTATTCACGCCCACCCCCCACTGTACTCCCATTTTTTTTGGGGGGGGGGGGGGGGGGAGCACGTGGTTCTTTTTCCCATCAAGGAGTCTGGAGGAGCTGACAATGACATTATAGAGGAGACCGTGGCCCTATGTGCCACTTTTCTACAATCAGTGTAGGAGTCCCCAGTGGCAATGACCTTTGTCATCCTAGAGGGGACTAAGTTACCACAGATGATACAAGCTTTACTAGCTGACTTTCAAGATGTGATGACTGATAGTTTAGAGGGAGTACCGCCACTTAGAGACATTTAGCATGTTATAGACCTTATCCCTGGATCGGTGTTACCTAAAAGACCTACTTACAGATTAAATCTAGCTAAGTATGAGGAGTTGCAACCGTAGGTACATGACCTTATTGCTTTAGTGAGGGAGTGCACCTGTCCATGTGTTATTCCTGCTTTGATGGTGACTAAGAAAGATGGTTCGTAGAGGATGTGTATTGATAGCCGAGTTATCAATAAGATCACTGTCAAGAACATATTTTATGTATCTCGCCTAGAAGATTTATTGGATCAGTTGCATGGAAATAGCATCTATTCCAAGATTTACATGCGTAGTAAATATCACCAAATCAGGATGAGGTCAGGGAATGAATGGAAGACTTCCTTCACTATCAGAGATGAGTTGTATGGTAGAAAATCATATGTCATTTGGATTATCCAATGCACTGGGCACTTTAATGAGGCTAATGGGTCAGGTGTTCAGAGCTTATATTGGAAAGTTTGTAGTTGTGTACTTTGATGACATCCTAGTCTACAACAGATTTGAGGAGGAGCACTTGCAGCATTTGAGGATGGTCTTTGGGGTTTTTCGGTTAGAGAAGTTGTATATCCACTCAAAGAAGTGTCACTTCATGATGACACGTATATGTTTTTTGGGTTATATTGTATCCGATGCATGCATTCAGATAGAATCTATGCAGATAGAGGCTATCATGAGTTCGACAACCTCATAGTCCTTTACAGAGTTGAAGTAGTTTTTGGGGCTGACATATTTTTTATAGGAGACTAATCAGGAGCTTCAGCACTATTATAGCTCTCCTAACAAACTTTTGAAAGGAGAGAAGTTTCAGTGGACAAAGGCAGCTAGCTCTGTCTAACTTTGACATCTTGAAGAAGGTGGCTTAGGCCCCAGTGTTCGCACTGCTAGATTTCAATCAGTTGTTTGAGGTGAAATATGATGCTTCTAATGTGGGGATTGGAGTAGTGTTGAGTCAGGGAGGGCCTCCAATTGCCTTACTCAATGCGAATTTGAGTGAATTCGGGAGGAAGTATTCACCTATTGACTAGTGAGTTTCCATTATTCACATATCATGAGGCTCTGAGGTTTATGAATAGCTAGAGCAAGTTAAATGGCATACATGATTTCTGTTTTCAGTTTTTGACTTCATTGAGTAAGAGAGCCAGAATCGAGTATCAGATGTCTTGAGTCATCGCCACTTATTGATCACTTTCATGCAGGTTAGAGTTGTGGGATTCGAGGTGATGAATGAAATGTATGAGACAAATGAGGACTTCAGGTAGATTTGTGATAAATGTAAAGAGAGGCCTACAAGAGAGTACCATAGATTTACTACTTGTTCCATCGTAACAGGTTGTGTTCCGAGATGTTCATTGAGAGAGTCCATCATACAGGAGGAGTCACAGTGGAAGACTAGTAGGTCATTTTGGTAGAGACAAGTCCTCACTTATGAGGGAACTTTTTTTTGCTTAGTCTGACAAGGGATGTAAGAGTTTGTCATATGACAAAAACTAGGAGGCAAAATACAAGACTATACACGACATTGTCAGTACCAGAGGCTCCATAGTTGGATGATAGTATGGATTTCGTTGTGAGCATTCCTTAGACATCGGAATAAAGATTTAGTGATGGTAATTATTGATAAGTTTTTGAATGTGGCTAATTTTATACATTGCCACAGAACATTGGATGCATCACATGGAGCTGCCTTATATTTTAGGGAGAGAGTGAGATTGTATGGGACATCAAGAACTCATGATAGGGACGTCAAGTTTCTGAGCTAGCTTTGAAGGACTTTAAGGAGGAAGCTTGGTACTAAGCTTCAGTTTAGCTCAGCAGCTCACCCACAGATAGAGGTGGTGAACAAAAGTTTGGGGAATCAATTGGTGTGTTCTATACTGAAAAACAACAAGTAGTGAGATCTGTTTCCTCCTCACTTGAGTTTGTGTATGTGCGCAACCCACTCACCTCACTTGAGTTGGTATCACTTCTTCCTGCTACAAAGGTTACTGTGGATGTTGAGGCTAGAGCACAAGAAATTCATAAGCTACATGAGGAGGTAGAGAGAGATCATCAAGTAGAATCACAATTTCCAAGAGCAAGCTAATAAAAACAGGAAGAATGTGACTTTTCAAGAGGGAGATCTAGTGTGGATTAGATTGAAGAAAGAGAGTTTTCATGTGGGATCTTTTGGGAAACTCAGACCCTTAATAGGTGGACCTTTTAGGAGACTTAATAAGTTGAATGACAAGGTCTACAGGATTGAATTATTGGGAGATTAAAACATTTTTTTGCTATTTTCAATGTGGTCGTCCTGACTCCATATTATGAGAAGATGGAAGCTTCGACTGATGAGATCGAAGCACCCCCAACCCCAGAAGACTAATGCGGGATGTTTGTCGCCCTATTACTGGACAGATTCGGTCCACGTTTCTTGAGGACCGGCCGACCATTGGGCAGGGGATTGCCACCTCTTTTTAAACGGTGTCACTTCTAGTTATGAGGAATATGTATTTGCTTTTGTTGGCTTTTTGGGTTTAGTTTTTATTGTGGTTCGCTTTGGGATGTCCGTGGGGTCTCATTTTCCCTCCACGGGCTATATTCTAGACTTCCAAGTGGTGGTGCTCCGACTGTATCTTGATCTCTAGATGGCGTTTATTCTTTCTATACATTTCCTCCATTCTTTCTCACATCGCTTCCACATCCCCTCCCCTTCCTCTTTGATGTTGTCACCCAAAAGAGCCCTCCGGCAGCTGTTCCTGCTACTTAGTTGATGTCCGAACTCCTGAAAGTTGTTATCCTACTGTTTTCAGCTTGCTGGCCGCCTTCTTCTCACCACCTTGGAGGTGCAAACTCTCACTAGCCCCACCTACAACCTAGATCTAAACCTAATTTCAGTGTTGTTGTTTTATTGCAATTTCAGATTTTCCTACTGTATGCTATAATTTCATACTTTGAATTCAATAATAATATTTATTTTCCATTGAGTCTTTGTTTAATTTTGGTATTAATCAAAGAGATATTTGAGCTTTAGATTGAGCACAAGATGGTAGTAAATGCGCTTGATATACATATATACTATAAAGATAAAAAATGCATACATAAGACGGGCAGACAAAATTAATATCGAAAATTAGGCACATAGAGATGCAAAGTAAAGATAACATAAATGGATATCATACTGAAAAAAACTACATAGAAAAGTTGTAATTATGATAAATCCAACTCCAGATAACTGTGATAAGATTAGTGACAATGGCAAGAATGACAAATAATCTTTTCTTGGAGCTGCACAGGTATTATTGCTTGATGAAGTGACAGTCGACCTCGATGTTGTCACGAGAATGGATTTGCTTGATTTTTTCAAGGAAGAGTGCGAACAGGTAGGAGAGAATGTTCCTCTAATCAAAACTGTATTTTTGCTATAACCTTAGCCATGGACTGTGATTTGATTAGAACATTCTTCAGAGAGGAGCTACAATTGTTTATGCCACCCATATATTTGATGGCTTGGAGACATGGGCTACAGATTTAGCCTATATCCAAGAAGGGGAGTTGAAAAGATTAGCAAAACTAGCTGAAATCAAAGAGCTTAAAGAAGCCAAAAACTTACTCTCTGTTGTCGAATCATGGCTTCGGTCTGAGACCAAGCTGCCCAAGAAAGAACCTTTTCTTTCCCCTGCACAGACTACTGTGTCTTCTCCCTTTGATGCGTCTCCCTTCAGATCTTCAAGGCATATGGCATACTACCGTTGAATTTAATTTAGGGGCATTGACCTACACACCTCACAAATCTTATGTATCTACATATCGAACTCTTAAAATTTTCATATTTACGTGTGAAACACTCAAATTTTTAGCATCACATCAAAAAAAACTACCATCACTTTCTTTTTAAAGTGAAATCCACAATTTCATACATGAGTTTATGATACCGAGGTGTTATAGGTAATTACATAAACATTGTGTGGTATGTATGTAAATTTCCCTTTAATTTTACATTGTCATTTAATTAGTTTCTAGGTAATTTTCCTTCAGGGAAATTATGGTTGAATTGAGTAAATTGATTTTCAAGTTTATAATTTATGTAATAATTATGGGGGTATTTGCATAATGTAGGGGGAATATTGCATTTGGTTATTTAAATTTTGCATTATCTTATTATTACCTATTTGTTGCAAGATTTTAGATTATTGTTATGCTATGATCTAACGTAAATCATAGTAAGGGTCATGGATCGTTGAGATTCGATTAGTCGTAAAGCAAGTGCAAATGTTTCTAAAGAACTTTATATAGCCATTTGATATGATGCTTTAGTGCTATATCTCTCTATTTGATTTTTAATCCAACTACAAGGATGTAATTGGCTAACTTTTTATGCCAATATAATTCTCGGACAGCCTCAGACATCACATAGAAGACCACAAATGATCAAATAATAAATTCAAAAATTGAGAGGTTTTTTTTACCTTGAACATGACATGTTAATCAAAACTAATATGTCTATACTTTAGGGTTGGCTTAATCTTGAGTGGGATACCAATATAATTTGGTAAGATCCTTGAGACATCTCAGATGATAAATTGAAATTTTTATTGGGTTTTGCATTGATCAAAAAACGTGTTAAACAAACTAGTTTGTCTATGATTTAGGGTTGACACAAGTTGAGTGGCCATTGAGGAAGCAAATGTTGAAACTATGCATAGATCAAGGGGCTCCATTGACAGGGGCAGGCAAAAAAATTGTCATTTATGGGGGATAAATTTTAGGGAAAAACTACATACACAGCACAGAAATTTTATGGATTTACGCATCTCACACCTAAAATTTTATTTTTACACACATAACACTTTACTTGTAGATGAAAAGAGGATTTAGCTATTAAAATGTGCTAATAAGTGTTATTTTTCATATAACCTAAAATTTTATTTTTACACACATAACACTTTACTTGTAGATGAAAAGAGGATTTAGCTATTAAAATGTGCTAATAAGTGTTATTTTTCATATAATATTTGTAAATATGAAAGTTTTGATGTGTTATAGGTGAATCCATAAGAATATGGTGCTATGTAAATGCCCCTAAATTTTGTCTCAAAAAGTTGCTCAATAACATAATTTTTTATTAGGTTTATTTATTTTTTAATTGATACATCTCAAGATTAGTCTCATTTTAACAATAAACTAATTTTAGTGGGTTGAACAAGACCCCTGCTTATAGTACTAAAATAAAGGATAAGAAATTGATCCATTATAGATATGATGTGTTGTTAAGAATACATAATATGTGTTAGCATTGAGATACTCGAAATGAAGTGTAAGAATAAGTAAAGATTTATTAGGACTATAAGAGATTCAAGTGTCTAACCCTAGCCAACGACCTTCTCATTGTAGGGTCAAAAGACGAAAATGTTATGAAAGATGTAATTAGGAGGTTGCCCGCTGCTACATTGTGAAGTAGCCATTGCTAAACTCTAAACATCCAAGTGCATCAACATGATACAGGAAGAGCATGGTGATAAAAGGTGTTGGATTCAACATATTTTAACTAAGATTGCGGGATGGAAAGTTTAATGGAAATAACTGGTGGATTTCGAAGATCCTAGATCTTGCTCAGTCTTTGATCCTAAGCATCTACTCTTTTTTAAGCAGAATTTCTTCAAAATAACAAGCACTTAAGAAGAAAGATTCCCTCTCAACCCATCCATAGAATCAATATTTAAACACTGAATATATTATAATACATATCAGTTTTTCCCAACCACACACACACACACACACACACAATACATATCAGTTCTTCCCAACGGCATAAACACAAATACACGAACACAAACCACAGAAATATGTGGGTTGATTTGGCATTCCATGTTCAGTCTGACAATTGCTCAAACCAAAATTTTATTACATTATTACAGTCATAAAATTCGACACAATTCTTCATAAAATTCATCAATAGTTGTTGTTCCATTCTGGGCTTAAATATGCTATAAAATATGGATGGTATGGATGGAATCATACAGAGAAGCTTGAGTCCCTCATGAATTACAAGAAAAATAAAGCCTTGGAAAGGCAGAAATGGGAGCTCTGCTGCTAATATGATGCCACATTCACCAGCTAAAAATAATTGATCAATACTCTTTTTTTCTTTTCCCTCTTTGGCTGATCATGAGAAAAACCAAAACATAAAATTATAACAATTCAAAAGAAATATAGAAATAAATTTAAAGAATGAAAGAGTCCCTCATATAGCAGCAGCAGCAGCTGCAGCTGCGTCTTCCTCATCAAGCTGATTCTATTTTTACTTCTTCCTTTCAGCACTAAGCGATAGGTGTTCAAAGCTTCTGTAAGGAGGATCCTCACGGGAGGCTTTGGGACCACCTGCTGTTCGAGCGAGGGAGGAAGCTCTAGATTCGCCAGAATGGTGAAGCCTCTGCTGCACAGGGCGGCTACTACTGCCACCTGAAAGAAATCGGGTCGTTCGGCTTCGCTGCTGGTCGCTGAGTTCGCCCGAGGATGAAAGGCGGGTGCTGCCGGCAGCTACAGCTCGCTTTGGTAAGCTGTCGTTCTTAGAGGACGACGCACGCGTTCGTCCTGTGTTGAGAGTCTGCATAAAAATCATGATAATTGTTCAAACACTCGATAATATACGATATTTACACCCAAAATCATCTCTCTTGAAAACACAAGGGAAATCATGGATGATAGAAAGGTTTATGCAACTGTAGTATAATGTTTACTTTACCCTATCTTTTGGTAGTCGCTCCTATTTTTTTCAATTTTTAATAGGAAGATTTACATACATACCACTCAGTTCTTATGTATTTACATATCTAACATCTAAGCTTCCTAATTTTCTGTTTTCTTACTTGGTGGGATTCCTAAAATAAAAGGATTCCAATTTCCTATTTTGTGTCGTGAACATTATTATGTGTTGTAAGGTGTAATGCATTAGGGGGGTGAAAATAAAAAAAATTTCTTTCCTACATGGTATCAAAACCGTGTTCCTCTCCTACCTAAAAAATTGCGACTCCTGCTATGTCTCTCGAGTGCAATCATCATTTGTCGAGACATCCTCTCCAAAGACTGCTCCATCTGTGAAGCTCCGAACCAAGCTTTCTTGTCACCGTCAACGACGAAAGTTTTATAAAAATCTTCAACGTTGTCGTTCAACTTTTTTGTTCGAGCCGTTTTCTCTCATACGCTTGAGGCCGTTGCTTCATCCCCGGCTCTTTCACTCAAGATAACGGCATTGTCTCCTCACGAATGAGATCGTAGGGTCTGGTGTTCGGCTCTTCCGCTCAAACAAAATGATTTATCCCGTTGATTTGTCTTTTCCACTCGAATAGAACACTCCTTTTTGTTGATTTGAAACCGAGCGGATTACAAGATTATTCCCTCTTCGGTTCTCCATGTTTGGCTAAATCAATGAATGATTAGGCTTTTGTTGCTAGCTCGGCTTGCTCTGACCTCATAGGTGATCTACTTGAAAAAGACATGACACCTCTCGGCAAGTGTCAAACATGTGAAAACCGAGTGTTGTGATCTCCCTCTAGTTCCTGTTTGCTCATCTAGTTGAGTAGGGTTCTCTCACTTGCCTTTAAGCAACAGTCTCTTCGATTCAGACTTCACAATTAAATCATGGTCAAATACGGCATGGCCTTTCACAATTAAATCATGGTCAAATACGGCATGGCCTCACAATCTTCTTCCTCAAAAGTCACCTCAAGATCTAAACCTACATCTTTAGTTCCTATCGTACCTGATTATTCCTCTCATCTAGTCATAAACCATAAATTACATGGCTACAATTGTTTTCAATGGCCACAATGTCTTTATGTACATCTATGGTAGAGAGAAAGACATCTCACGAGCAAAATTTCGACTCCATAAATTATAGATTCCAAATATAGGAATTAGAAAATTGACGACAACATTGTTATGCCATGGTTAATAAATTCCATGACCACGGAGGTTAGAACAAATTTTCTGCACTATAAGACAATCAAAGAGAAGTGGGAGGCTACATGTAAAACCTACTCTAGTACTGAAAACTCCTCAGGGTTATTTGAGATTGAGACCAAACTATATGATCTACAACAAAAAGAATTGAGTGTTTGCTCAATATTCAACACCCTCACATGTTGGCTGCAATTGAACATGTATGAGATTTATGCTTAGAAATGTCCTAATGACTCCGCCTTGTATAGGAGAATTACTGAACAAAAAAAAAATCAATTTCTCATTGGCCTCAATAAAGATCTAGACGAAATCAGGGGGCAAATCATGAGAATTAAACCCATCACTACCATTAGAGAGGCTTTTGCAGAAGTTCGATGGGAGGAGAGCAGAAAGAAGTTGATAGAAATTACATGGTACATTTAAAAGCACACACTATTTGTTGGAGGATCAACCTTGTACATTTAAAATTCCTCTCAGAATAATAAGTCCAAGAAAGGACAACTATGATGCAACCACTGTAAGAAGCTTAGTCATATGAAGTGTTAGAAATTACATGGTAAACCTGCAGATTGGAAGCACCATCTAATTGGAGATATAATAGGGAGAACTGTGCAAATGTTGTTGTCACAACCAACAACAATTCAAAATTCAGCTCATTCACCAAGGAGCAGATTGAGGCACTGTATAAAAATATTTAATAATAATTCCAATTCCAAATAAGCATCATAATCTGTTGCTAAGCAACCTATCAGACTATTGGCACACCAAGGTATCTATCTTGTGTCTTTAGTATCCAAAGCAATAAATTAAAACATTGGATAGATGACTCCATAGCCTCACATAATGACTACGTCTTGTATAGGAGAATTACCGAACAAAAAAATATATCAATTTCTCATTGGCCTCAATAAAGATCTACACGAAATCAGGGGGCGAATCATGGGAATTAAACCCATCCCTACCATTAGGGAGGCTTTTGCATAAGTTCGATGGGAGGAGAGCAGAAAGAAGTTGATAAAACATCACACACCATTTGTTGGAGGATCAACCTTGTACATTTAAAATTCCTCGCAGAATAATAAGTCCAAGAAAGGACAACTATGATGCAACCACTGTAAGAAGCTTAGTCATGTGAAAAGTGTTAGAAATTACATGGTAAAGCTGCAGATCGGAAGCACCATCTAATTGGAGATATAATAGGGAGAACTGTGCAAATGTTGTTGTCACAACCAACAACAATTCAAAATTCAGCTCATTCACCAAGGAGCAGATTGAGGCACTGTATAAAATATTTAATAATAATTCCAATTCTGAATAAGCATCATAATATGTTGCTAAGCAACCTATCAACATATTGGCACACCAAGGTATCTATCTTGTGTCTTTAGTATCCAAAGCAATAAATTAAAACATTTGATAGATGACTCTGGAGCCTCACATCATATGATGGGAAATATCAACATCTTCAAAAATTACAATCTTGTACCAATCACTCTACAGTTTGAATAGTTAATTATTCATTCTCACCAGTAGTAGAAACTAGATCAATCAAATTACCAAATGATCTCCATCTCTTCTCTGTACTTTATGCTCCAAAATTAAACTGCAACTTACTCTCCATTAGCAAACTCACTTGTGAAATAAATTGTGTAACTAAATTTCATTCCAATTATTATGATTTTTAGGTTATGGATTAGAGAAAAGTGATTGGCAGTGTTGGGATGCATGATGCTCTACACTTGCTCAAAGCAAATAATTTCATCATAAAAATGTCATCCGTCAAGTTGTATGTTTGAGTTTAGTTTAAATTATGTCATTGTAGTTTATGTTGAAATACAAGTCATGTTGAGTAAGTGTCATCTTAGTCATCCAAATTTTGCATACATGAAAAAAAAGTTCCCTCATTTATTTATTAACAAAAAACTCAATCTTTATTAACATGAAACCTGCCAACTTGCAAAACATACTAGACATATATACTCGAAACTACAATACAAACATTCACATTCTTTTATTGTAATTCACACTAATATCAGAGGATAAGTAAACAATATAAATGGGGCATGATAGTTTGTATCATGCATAGATGATCACACAAGAACATGAACATTCCTTATGAAAGAAAAATCTAAAACAATCATCATATTTCAATCATTTCATTCCATGATCTTCACTCACTTTCAAAACAAAATTCAAAACTTTAAAATTAATGATGTTAAGGAATATTTTAATTCAATCCATAGTCCTTACCTTTTCAAGCATGACATTATTTATATAATTTCTTATGTGAATACTCCTTAACAAAAACAGGTCGATGAAAGTAAAAATAGGCACTTGATATGGCACATGACATTCTACTCTTTAATCATGTGCCTAAATATTTTTTGGGGGGAAGTCATTCCCACAATATCTTGTCAATAGGATGCCTAGTAATGTCCTAAATTTTCAAATTTCTCATAAAAATGGGATCCTGCCCACCCATCTGTTCTCTTTCTTCTGACTTACCATTGAAATTTTTTGTTGCCCTAGCTTTGTTCACATCTATGAAAACCACACCAAACTTGATGCCAAGTCTCTCAGATGAATCTTCCTTAGTTATACCTCCAATCAAAAAGATGTACAAATGCCACTCTCCAACCACTAAGAAAATATATAATTTCATGAATGACACTTTCTTTGAGAATCAATATTATTTTCTCAAATCTAAAATTTAGGAGAACTCGAGGGAATATCATATTTGAGATCATTTCCAAAATACTCAGGTAATTTCTCCTTCAACTAAGTCAAACTCTATTACTCAATCAGCTCCACTTAAAGAACAAAACTCTATATCTTCAATTGAACCAAACTATGTCACTCAACTAGCTCCACTTAAAGAGCCAAACACTCACAAAAACTATCCCAAACATCTCAACTCAACCTCAACATGACACCAATGAACGGGAACTTCGTGCCTACACCAGAACAATGATCATTGAGCTTGTAGAGGACACTACGCCAGACTCGAGGCTTTCAAAAGCCAAAACCAAATTCTCCTACATCCGAAAATCATAATGGTATGGATACCTCAATTCATGACTCGCTTGTGTCATTTGTTGACGACTTTAATCAACCAATTGCACATATAGAAAAATTATACGAAGTGCATCGCTCACCCAATTGAAAGATGTAACTTATAGGAAGTTACTACCATTTTACAGGGCTTTTGTAACGACCCATCATAGCGAGCAAATTCTCAACTCTATCCAAGAGGTTCTAAAGATTTCTGCATGAGAAAAAAATTAAAGAAATGTGGGTTGCAAGAATAAATAACACATGGACACTTACAAAGTTATCTCATGAAAAAAATCATGTAGGTTGTAAATGGATATTCACCGTCAAATATAAAGAAGATTGAAGTATAGAGAGATCTAAACTTAGATTAGTTCTCAAGGCTTCAAGCAATCATATGGGACTACCTATCAATAAATTTTTGTATTTGTTGATAAACTTAATACATTTAAGGTCCTACCCTTTCTTTATCCCAATTTGATGTCAAAAATGTCATCTTGAATGGGGACCTAGATGAAGAAGTCTACATGACTACACCCCCAGGCTTAGAAAATAGGTTGAAAAACAAGTTGATTTGCAAGTTAAAGAAGTCCT